TAATAATCAATAAATAGAAATTAATAAATCAGCAATCATCCAATCAATCATCTATAAAAAGCTAAATAAAAAGGCAAGCAGTAATCCTCAGCGCACTAAAGCACAAAGGTGTGCAAAACACCCCCATTCCTCTGAAGACTTTAGAGTTGGTTTAAAAAATGTGGATTTCTAGTTTTGATTGAATTTTTTCTTGCTTATATATGCGTTATACTCAAAAAGGCTCTATTTTGTAGAAAACTTAAAAATACTGACACTCTGGAGGTACTTTACGAGAAAAATTACAAGATAAATTTATAGCATTGAATTGAAGGAATTTTACAAAAACCTTTTTCAGTGTCGAATTCGGGACAAAAACGAAAATAAGTTTTCCCGTTTTTTTCGGAAAATCATTAAGGTTATCTGAAAAAACGATTACAAACCGAAAAATGTTTAATGGAAAGCGCAAAAAATCCAGTATTTTCTGATGCTTTTCGTCTTTTCTGACAATCATGAAGTCTTTTCAGCCAAAAACGACACAATTAATGTCGTTAGAATATTGGCCTCTTGCATCGCTTTGCAGGATATTTAAAACCCTTTTGAGCTTCGAATTTGGCACAAAAACCAAATAATGTTATTTACTTTTTTCCCAAAGTAAAGAAAAAACGACCAGAGCAAAACTTTACAAAAAATTATTTGGAAAATTCGCTGACCTCATCGCTCTGAAGAAATTTAAAGTTCATTTAAAATTTCAGGTCTTTCCAATTTTAGCAAAGTTTTTCTTAAGCAATTCTTTCTAAGCAAGTAACGCATTATTTTCTAAAGATTTACTTGACACTGACAAAATTCAGTTATTTTCTGTGAAAAATTATCCAATGAATTCTATTGGAACACTTCGCTGCTTAACCATTTTGTGAACAATTTTTTCAAAACTTTTACAGCTTCAAATTTTGGACAAAACCCTAATAATTTTTTCCGGGTTTTTTTCCAAAAATATTTTTCCGAACCGAACAAGCGAAACTTTATAAACAATAATCAATAAGGATTGTAAAAAGCAAAAGTAAACTAAATTGTAAAATGTCGCTTCGAGAGATTATTCGATTCAGCTGTTGATTTTTATTTTCCGGCAGTGTCACAACATTAAAGGGTAATCAAATAATGTATAAATAKTGATTTTSAATAAGCCCTATACGATTTGCAAAAAGTCAAATTTTTACTGGTTGGCTAGGCTAGGGCTAGGGAAAATGAGTAACAAAATGTATTAAWAAAATCCGCATTAACATGTTCTGCAGAAAAMTTCTAACCRAATAAARARACTGAGATTCTGTGAATGTCATATRTARAGAARRTAAGTAACTAATAATAAAATTTCGAAACGRGTAAACATATTACATATGACATATTTTAGCCTCAATCGACATGGAAATCTAACATTCCCTTAGGGTTTGTCCATCTACTATCCAACTTCTCTCGTTTGACAAAAAACGTACTTGGTACTAATGTGATAACTGCAATTTAGGTATGATTAAAAAACAGGCAAGCATTGTTTAAGTCGTGTCCAAATCGGTTATGTAAATTCGTGAAAATACTACAAATAAAGGTTGATTTTCATATTGGCATCAACGCATTTTAGCCACTTTACTTCAGCTGGTGACAAAATGTCTACCTGTTTTATCAAAAATGGAGCTACGTGTACCGCATCGTAATTGGGAACGGCTGCCAAAAAAAAACCATCTAAAATAATGAAAGAAACATTTTGCAGTCATCGGAAGTTCAGGGTAACAAGGCGCGTTGAACCTTAGATAAAAATCAGCCCTAAACTGAAAACCTATAAAAGTGATCACTTTCGATTAAAAAATAATGCAGTAATTATTAACTAAGAAAACAATAAAACAGAAGATCATTTTAAAAATGTATTGCGGTCTACAAAACTATTCAGCTATTTATATCAAATTACAGACATCAAATAATATAAATAAACCAAAAAACCATGAAAGTGATTAATTTGAGTCGAAACATAAGTTTAGTTAATCATCTTTAGTTTAAAATGCGGCAAATCCGAGTTAATATAATTAAATAAATAAATTATTTGCTTTCAGAACAGTCATGATGTTTTATAACTAGCACAACCTATTCTTTTGGTTTGAACATGTCTGTAGAATAGAAGTTTATGAGGCGCAGTCCAATGCTTCTATCATGTCCATGCATTTACCATAGATATAACAAAATGTCACTTTTAAAATGAACTTTTCTTTCTTCAGTATCTTGCAATAAATTAAGCAGCATTTTTAGCACAAGATGATCATTAGCTGYGCTAGTGAATTTATTCTACAACAATGTTTTTCTATTATTTTTCTTGAACTCGACGGGATTATTTATATTCAACAAGTCCTTCACCGCCCTTCTCTTGTTTGGCTTATTTTTAATGAGAAAATGACTCTCAGAGCTTCTTAGCTAATAACGGCACGAAAAGGGCCTGCACGATTTTTCCCCGTCCTAAGTGCCATTGTAATTATCTTGGAAACACACTCCCGGCCAAAACAAAACTCATGTAGCTTTCGTTAAAATGCTTTGATTCAAAAGGTTTAAAAACGTGCAATTTCGCCAGTGTTGTGGTGAAAACATGGTGCTCAAGTAATCTTCACAACTCCTTGTGTTAGGTAATGACGATGCCCCTTTTATGTTATTCCTATGCAATTAGTTTTGTAAGCCTTAAATATTGTCAAAGTATTATCAATAAGACCAGCAGCGACTTTTTCAGAACATAATTAATTTATTTCTCCTTTTGTTTCTAGAACATGCAAAGCAACCAGAAAACCAAGAATCTTTCGCAGTCATTCAAGCAGTGGATCATACTGGTGAGTTTTCGAGCTTTTAGGCCATGCTGAATAATAATGTATCGCTGACGCTACGCAAGCATTAGTGGCTTGTATCGTCCGTGTTTCGCTCGTGCCGTGCAGAATGCCGGCTGGAAAACTTCTTGAAAAAAATATTTTCTTCTGCTGGACAAAAATGCAATGCATGGCAGAAATGCTGAACAAAAATGCAATGCATTTTTGGGTTATGCGAATGTCCGAAAGCTCCCTGGTACAGGATGATACAGAAAAAACTCTAATTTTTAGGACACAAGGCTTACATTAGGATCTTATGTGGCCTTTGCAAAAACATTTTTTTAGAGAAAACATTCAATTCATGTTCACAGTGCTGCATTTTTAAATATTTTCCAAAAAAAATATTTGCAAGAGCAACAGAGATTTCTAATATAAACATGTGATCTAAAAATTAGAACGTTTTTCTGATCAAAACATGTAATTTTTTTGTCGAGCAAATTACGGAAACCGAGCACTAGATCAATTCAATACAGAAATTGAATGAGCGTATTTTTTACATAGAACATAAGTTGAAAAAATGCAGTTCCTCCTATGCGATTCATGGCTTTCCATTACGTTTTACGAGAAAAAAGATTCCATTGCAATGCCACCAACCAGATCTTTAAAAAATTGGATGCCAGCCAGATGTTCAAATCACATCGGCTGATAATTTACTTTAAAAATTAGGAACAATAATCAAAATTTACATGCCCTAACACTAAACCCAGTTGGTTACATCGATAGAACTGAAAATCAACATTGAAATTTAAGGTAATTTTGCAAATGTTGGAGACATGTAGAGAATGTGTAGCTGATAATAACTGTGTATTATCAAACTCGGTTCCCTTGTAGAGTTCCGGTGATGGCTAACACATACCAGAAACGTTGGCTGGAGTGTTTTTCTATCAATTTCTATCGCTAACTGTTGATAAATCGCCAACAAGTTGGACCTGTTGGAACTTTGACTACACGCAAAATTTGAAAATTATAAAGAAAGTGTTGTAATTGTGAACAAATGCATAGTCATACTTTACACACAAAACAAGTTTGATTAATTATCCAGCTCTGTAGCGACTATTAATTGCAATGATGTATGTATGTGTTAAATATTTCACTTAACAATCCGTTTGCAATCGAAATGACAAATACATTG